TATCTACTAAAACAGATTAAATTACGCTAATAATATAAATATTTTTCATGTATATAAATTAAGTCCTATGAATAAGGTTTAAAGCCTTTTTTAATTGATGAAGAAGGGCATTTTGGGATAGAGGAGAATGAGGGGAGCAAAGAGGTTGCGTGGGGAATGGTTAGGATTCTTTCTTTTGGAGTGCGTACGCTAGCTTTGTGTGTGGGATGATCAGTTCAACATCTTTGCTTTAATTTTGAAGGCTATGCTTTTCTTTCTCTTGTCTACCCTTCCCCACCTTCATCCAATATACTTTGTTTAGACTTGATGCTAGATGCTCTTTAGGACCACCAAGTGACAAAACTTGTAATTAATTTATTTTTTTAAGGGTGTGATTATCATTAAAATATTATTTGAAAACAAAAAGAGAAGACATTTGTTACCCCCACCAAGAAAATCTGTCTTAAGCCCTACATTTCTTTCTGGTATTTTGATATTACTTATTTGGTCATAGTATTAATTCTTTCCATCTGTTTAAACTTTAGCTGGGTAGATTTGTTCCATACTTGTGCTGTTGGAAGGTGCTAGTAGGCGTTGCGCCTATTTGTTCGAACATAACAACTACAAAAAATAATAATTATATATTCATAGTCAGTGACGGAGCCAGGATTTTAACTTAGGGGAATCAAAATAAAAATAAGTAAGCACACAAGAAAACCAAGGGAGTCAGTGTAACATATTTACACGATATAATTTTCCGATGAAGGAGTGTCAATTGACGCCCCTTGCCAATGAGTGGCTCCGCCACTGTTCATAGTATCATATTAGTTGTTCCCGACATACTCATGTTTTTATCTTTTGAAGAGGCCATTAATGATTGTATTAGGGTAGACTGTCTACATCACATCCTTGGGGTGCGGCCGTTTTCCGAACTTTGTGTGAACACGGTATACCTTGTACACCGGGCGGTTTTTTTTTTAATCATAGTATTATGAGTTTTGGACTTAATGTTCCTTCTAGGATTTTAATATTAGTTGTTTGATTATAGTATCATGAGCTTGTGCAATATTCTAAGTTTGATGCATGCTGGACCTTTCTTAATGTGTATGCAAGGTATTTCTGTCTTCTGGATAACACTATTACCTACTATCTTAGCTAAGTTTCTCTCCTAATAAAGCTTTGATGCTATGCCAAGTCATCCACAGCTGGATAATTCTAGATAATGGAAGAAGGAATATATAATCCCCAAAACAAATAAAGAATTTCAGTTCCAAGATTCCTTTGGTCAGTATGAGCATTTGGTTACGTGCTTTCAAGAACAGATAGTATGAGTTTCTAGAGTTTCATCAATATATATATATATATATATATATATATATATATATATATATATATATATATATATAAATGAATTTTAAGTTCTATTCATTGACTATATAATAATACAATCAAATCACTTCAAAGTAAGTGTAGATAGCTTTATTTTAATATGTATTGATTGTGTGATTTAGAACAAATGACAAATAATTAACTTCCTAGAACAGATTAAAAACTGTTGATGATGCCTTTTTTTTTTTTTTTTTTTTTTTTTGCAATATGTTGAAATTATCCACAATAGAAGCTAAGATTTGGTGCATGAGGAATTATCTGATGTGTGCCTATTTTATGTGTGACCTCAGAGAACGCACTTTCCACACAAGCTTATCATAGAGCCTGTTTGACTTGGCAACTAGATAAATGGCTTAAAAAAAGTTAAAATTTGCTTAAAAAAAAGCCAAAATCAACAAGTTGGGTAAACCCAACTTTTTCTAAATTGGCTTAAAAGTCATATTGCTTTGACCAGCGATATTACATTCTTATCTCTTATAATTTTTCTTAATCTCGAAATTACCCCTCAGTACAAAACTTGAAATTGCTGATGTGTTCTTCCTCCCGAAATTGCAGCATCTACTTTTTTAAATTTTATTGTGTGGAACTACTCTCTTTTATTGTTCAGTCTTGGAAGTGATATAGGCGTTTTCTTATTGAGCCAGATATGTATATTTTACCCACCTAATTGTTATGTATCGTAGTTAACCTCTTTGAGCCTATAATCCTTTTTCTTTGGCAACCACATTACAAGCCTTGCCCAGTTGTTTGAATTAATCATCTATTTGAACCTTTTCACCTCTCATGAGCACTTGAATTGTTATGAACTTTGTAAAAGTTAAAGTGTGGGGTGGTTGGTTTGGCTTTTGAGTGGAACTAATTGAATAAGGAGAAAGGTGCACGGTTTTGAAAAAGGAAGAGCCACTTGAATTGAAAACAAAATAGTTGGATTGTTGTTGAAAAAAATAAATTTTGATAAGTGGTGGCTCTTGACGTAAGTGTGCTTAAAAAAGTATGGGGTAATATAAATTGATGTGAAGGTGGAGTTTGGTTTGACATAAGTATGGGGTTTGAATGTCAAAGTATATGTATTAAAGTGCTTAGGGAGGTGTAGTCACTCTTATATATAAATGTATCCTACCCGTCCCGTAGCCTACATTACAACCAAATAAAGTCCTAATTGATCCTAGATTGAATGAGCTCGATTAGTGGAGTAGTACACTACGGGCAAGCTTATGGTGCATCTTTTGTGGCATATGAATGTTATGAGAGTGAGTGAATTCTTTCTATCTTGAGTTCCTAAGTGTTCTTAAATTTTATTGTGTGGAACTACTCTCTTTTGTTGTGTGAGGGCACTTGATTCACGAAGGAAAGATAATGTCAGTGATCTCTATGTTAGGGTAAGTGGGTGAGTTGCGAATAACGCGTCGTACTTGTGAGTCAAATCTTGAGGTGAAGATGTTATGCTTTTGTGCTTAGTCTATTTTTACTACTCATTGTGTGATGAGTTAGGAGAATTGTTTAAAAAGGTCGTGTCTATAAAAAAAAATGTAGTTTGATTGCTCGAGGACGAGCAATGGTTTAAGTGTGGGGTGTTGATGATAGGCTATAATTGCATATTTTAGTCGCTTATTACACTCTAATTTACTGCACTTTAGTTGAGTTTGCGCTTTAATCGCTAGTGTTTTGCACTAACGGTGTGTTTTATGCCTTGTAGGAGTGATTCCGAGCTATATAGATGTTATGGAATGAATTCAAGTGATTTGGAGCTTTGAAGTCTGAGTAAAAGCCCAAGGAATTAAGCCGGGATCGTATTCGGGGATCAACGGATGATAAAACAACAAAACGAAGACTCGAGGAGGCATATTGCGCACTGTCTAGTAAAATAAATATAACTTTTTGCTCAGAACTCCATTTGGGCTCCACAATATATGGTTGGAAAGCTAACTCAAAGGGCTACAACTTTCATGTTTTAAGTTTTTCCAAATTCCAAACGGAACAGGGTGAAAAACCGCGGTTACGGTAGGACCGCGGTAGGACCGCGGCAGAACATTACCAAAGATTCAGAGGACCATTCTGGCCGCGGTCCTGGCGTAACCGCGGTGGGACCGCGGCAGGAAGCGAAAATTTCAGGGACCAAAGTGCAAAATACGGGATTTTAAGCCCTAAACCCTATATTAAACGAAGGAAGCCGGCCAAAAGACAGGAGGGGGACATATTTTGGACATAAATTAGACCTAAGGAGGAGAGACACTACTCTAGGGTTAAACAACACCCTTGGAGGCAAGAACACATTGGGAGCAAGGCGGAGAATTCTTCTACGAGTTTTTTCCTTCCTCTTCCTATTTTTCATTGTTGGTTATGACTTTTAGTATTGTAGTTTTACATACTATTATGAATAGCTAATTTGTTATCTAGAGTTTTGATAGAACCTTTTGTAGGATAAATTCTTGTTATGTTTTTATATAATTGAGCCATAACTTTTCTCTATTTGTTCAACTACGTTTATATTCTGGTTGATTGAAGAGCTCTCAATTAGCTGTGCCTATTTAGTATGCATAACTCGGGAGAGAGTGCATATTTTGGTAATTGTCGAACAACACCACTCCCAGAGTATATGAGGGATCAATAACCGAGGGTTTAAAGGCGGGATTAGGGATAACAAAGCCTTGGGTGCGATCTGAAGTGAGCTGTATTAAAAGCCAGCTAGCGTAGCTCGGGAGAGTGCGTCTAGTAAATTATCGTAATTACTCAGGAGAGATTTATGGTAATAAGAGTGCTCATGATCGGTAGAGAATACTTAGGCGAAATTATAGAAGACATAGCGGGAAGGATTCCGACAATAGGAAAAATCATAACTCTAGACCTCCTTAATCTTTTCTCTAACCCTCAGTATCGTTAGTTGTTAATTTACTATTTTAATTTGTTAGTTAATTAGTTAAACACAAGAATCTTAATATCTATAAGTTAGGAATTGTTCAAGCTTGTCTTCTTGGTGATAGTGAACAGCTGTAGCTAAACCTTAGTTCTCTGTGGGATTCGACTCCGGACTTGTAAACCGGATTATATTTGCAGCGACCGCTTAGTCCTTTTTATAAGGCATAGTTGGGCGTGGCCATGAGGTCTGGGGAAGGTAGAGTGTACGCAGACCTTACCCCTACCCCTACCTCGAAGGGGTGGAGAAGCTGTTTCCGAAAGACCCTCGGCTTAAGAAGACGAAAATAAATAATAGATCAGTGACAACAACAAAAGCTAGAAAAATAATATCAGAGACAGAAAATAGATGGAAAAGCAATAACAATAACCGATAGTAATGCCGTAAAAAAACATAAATAGTGTGGAAACTATATAAACCACTACCAACCCAAGGCGAAACATTATCAGCCTAGCCCCGGTACAAAGTAGAAGTGTGGAACTCAAAAGTACTTTTTGATTACATTACCATGAAGTTAGGAATATACGTGAAATTCTGATCACGAGAGCTGAGGGTAATTATTTTGGATAACTAAATGTCGATTCCAAATTCTTTAAGGCATTTGTTTTCCCTTTACTTCTACCGATTCACAGTTCCCTAGGGCTTTTTGCATTCCATGTTACTGCTGGTAGTTGACTCAAGCTTTATGGGATATTGTTATCCCCAATTTTTTTCACATTTTGCACTTCTTTTAAATGTTTCATCCGTGGGCTGAAGGACATGAAGTATGAACTTTTTTTTTTGTTTTACATACAATCTGATGCTCGATTCTTCTTCCTTCGCATTTTTTTCTTTTTTCCTTTGAGGTACGTGACTGGCCTATTCAAATTCTTAACTTGAAGTTATATGCAGTGTTTCATCTCTAACCAGCAATCAGAAGCATGTTTTAAAAAGGGTCTGATATTCAGTGTCCATTACTCGATGAACAGCTCATGGGTGCTCTTTTGAAATTTCTTTTTATCCCAGTCATGATCCTTAAAATAATTGTGTGCCAAATGTTTTTTGCAAAACAAAATAGGCGGACAGTACGTCAGTTTCCTGGTCACCAAGGTGCAGTACGTGGTTTGACAGTGTCTACGGATGGCCGTATTCTTGTATCATGTGGAACTGATTGCACGTAAGGCTTCATGAGAAATATTGCACGTGAGGATACAAATTTAATTAATGAATATATTCCTGTACTAAATCTGATCCACTGTGCTTTGCGCTACTTTACTGTAGTCTTAGGCTCTGGAAAGTTCCTGGTGATACTCTAATGGAGTCAGATGATGGGTCTGGTAACTCATCCCAGGTAAATGCATTTCTAGCTTTCTGTTGTTTACATGCATGAACTTGTTGTGCCCGATTGTCTAGCAAACTGAATTCTTTTATTCTCAGCCATTGGCTGTGTATGTTTGGAAGAATGCATTCTGGTATCTATTTTTACTGGGTTCCTGCATTGTCCGATCATGTAGTTTCCATGTTTAAATAGAACCCTCTTTTTTGGACATAACCTTTCTCAAGTTATATATCTCTTATCCTTTTGAAATTTCACTATTATGTGCATCTATGTTTTCAACGTCTTGGACAATTATTTATGCAGTAGTTGCAGCTTCTCTGATCATCAAATTAAACTTCAAAAAAATAGTTAGTGTTATCCATTTTTTGGCCTGCAGCTACTTATTGTGTGGTATTTGATCTTTCTTGCAGTGACCGTAGCATAAATATATATGATTTACGGATGTCTACACCAGCTAGAAAGGTTATTATGCGGGTAAGCAACACAATTGTCTCTGTGAAAATTACTGCTAATGCAGAAATTATGTCCCTAGGGTCTGATATTCAGTGTCCATTACTCGATGGACTACTCTGTTGTAAAGCCGCTTAATTAGGCTAAATTTCTGGGCCTGAAAGCAGGCCTTGACATTACCACGACAACAGTTGGATCTGAAAAATTATAATGTTCTAAGTTTAAGTTGAACATTACATTTGCCTGCCTTAACCATTAAGATTATGAAAAGCTGCTGGATCACTGGATTTCTTTTCCAATAAGCACATGATCACTGTTGGCTAGTTTGCCCTGGTTAGAGTTGAAGTTGGAAACTTCGAGGAGAGCGTGAATAGAACTGATCCGTTATGAATCATAGCTAGGAAGCTTAAAGATTCTTCTAGTTAACGTCTTGGTCACACTAATATTTTCTTTGAGGAAGGAATTTTTTCAGTGGTGGGATTAGGTTCCTTTTTGAGAAAGAACTTAAGGCCTGATTTTTCTATATCTGAAATCTGTAACATATACCCTTATAATATTCGGAAATTTTTGTTAAGGTAATTAAACGAAGCTATAGAGCCTATTTTAAGTTTCTTGCAAATTCATTGATAATTCCTTGACGCAGACCTTAAACGGAAAAGTATATGCCCAAATTTTGATGATGAGTAAACCATGATGGTTTAAATGTAACAAAGAGTAAGGTGGATAATAGTATCCTGCTTCCAATCTTTTTCTGATTACTAACACTCTATTTGGATCATTGTTCCTCATCGTTTTATGATGTATTGTATTGTATTGTATCGTATCGTTTTATGAAAATAATGTTTGGATAGATTGTATGTTTGTTATTGTTAAATAATACTTTGCTATTTGATTTGACTGTATCGTATTGTACTGTAACTGATAAGTTTACTAAAATACCCTTAATTGTTTAAATATTAAATTTATCAAAAATTATGCATAAAAATAATTTTAAAAAACAAAACAGAAGAAGGCAAAACACCTTAAGAAAGCAGAACAAAGGAGTGAGACAGAAGAAGGCAAAATAAAGGAGCACAACTAATTAGAATTGAGTTAAAAGCAAATTAGGAGAAAAAATAAAACAGAAGGCGGCAAAACACCTTTAACGTTGGCGGTAGAAGTTCTGAAAAAAAACAAAGTAGGTTATAGGTTGGAGATTTGGAGTTAAAATAGCAAAAAAAGCTAAAGGGTAAAATAAAATTCTGGAGTAATATGTTAGGGCATAATTGGAAAGAGAAATAGGAAACAATCCCACCACACCAAATCGGTTGTTTCGAAAAAGGTGACTTTTCATTGTTCCGGAACAATGGATTTAACAATACAATACAACCAGTTTTAATGAAACAATCAAAACAAACATTGTTTTAGGATAACAATACAATACGATACAACGGGGAACAACCATCCAAACAAGTTGTAAGACCACTTTGATAGTTGTAATATAAAGGTAGATTTTATTCATCTTAAAATTTGGACAGAAACTTGCAAAATTAGATAGGACAAAAAGGTGACTGGTTCTTCAGAAGGTCTTTTCCTAGTGAAAGTTGCCTAGTTTGCTTGTAACACCATGCTCGAAGTCTCTGCAGCTTAAGTAGAGCATTGTACCTTTGTCATGAACGCAATGCCTTTATGTGAAATGTTGCTATAGCTGTGTTTTACTTTGTTTTGCTTCAGTAGGCCCCCTTTTACAATTACGTGATAATGAGGAGCTGCCTGAACACTTAGTAGTGAATGCAGTTTAGGAGTTTGAGGGGCTGAGTGCATGCATAAAACAAGGGCATGGGTCTCACTTGGTGTTTATTTTTTAATCTTTAGTGGTTGTTCTCAATATGAATTTCATATATTATGTGGGTTTTTTTGGAATGACTCTTCGCATCTTATTGGGGTAGGCTAATGACGATGGCAAGTGCTACAGTTATGATGTTAGAAAGTTAAATGAAGCCAAATGTGTGCATAAAGATCATGTCTCCTCAGTGTAAGGCATCATCTCTTCATTTACTGCAGTTATGTGTTGGATTTTACAAGTTGTGTGCGCTAATAAGTGTGGTATATTTGCAGGATGGATATAGACTATTTACCAACCGGTCGAGAATTTGTTACTGGACCTTATGATAGAACAGTAAGTTCCTTTCAAGTTTATTTATTTGTTCACCTAGTGCCCTCGGCACTTTGACCGAATTACATTTGTAGGTGCGAATTTTCCAATATAATGGTGGTCACAGCAGGGAAATCTATCACACTAAGAGGATGCAGAGGTTTCACTCTATATCTTGATTAAGAAGCATCTTTTCTGTTTTGTTATTAGTTATCATCTATGTTGCGCCGAACTCTCCAAAATGTAGCCGCACCCGTGTCGGGTCCTTTAAAAATACACTACTTTTGGAGGATCCGACACGTATCCTGCCACATTTTCGGAGAGTCGAGCAACATAGGTTATCATGTAGTTATCCCCAATTATAATGGACCGTCTTGGCTGCTTAATGTGCTTGCATTTTCAAGTGAATGTGTTTTCCTGACATCTATCATCAACTCAGGGTATTCTGTGTCAAGTTCAGTTGCGATGCTAGTTATATTATCTCAGGAAGTGATGATACCAACCTTCGTCTATGGAAAGCAAAAGCATCTGAGCAATTGGGAGTTGTATGTACCGACATTCTGCTTGATTCACTTGGTTTATATAGTGTGTTCTGGGAATGTGTGTACATGTTTCATTTCTGCTTTTAGATGAATTATGGGTTTGAATCTTTCTGAGATTCTACTTAATCACTCTCTCTCTGTCTCTCTCCTGTTCCTTTTAGTGGTGGATTGGTTTCAACACAGTGGTAAGATTGAAAAAGTGAGATCAAGAGGTCGTAAGTTTTTTACACGCATCCATTCTAGTTTCTTAACATGGGGAGATTTGTTGTTTTAGTTTATGAAAATATAAGAACTTTTTTACATTTCTTCAGTAGAAATCTTGGACAAGCAGAATTATGAGTAATTAGAGTTTGTTAATTAGAATGCTGCAAGTAGATGAAACGGAGATCCCAAACTTGGAAAAAGCTTTTGTGGTTCTTCATTAAAATTCTTGCACAAGCTAGAGTATGATGTGCAATAGAGAAAGGAAAAAAGGGAAAGAAACATATGTTCTGTAGCCATTATACTATTAAATTGTTCAGGTACCTGATTGTTCCAAAACTTTTTCCCGAAAAGTATGGTGTGTGACCATATTTAGGACAACTTGAAATTTTCTCTGCCCTATTCCCTTTGAAGCTTTTTTATGTGCATCAGTTTAGTTCACACAAAATGCCTTCAACTAATGAACAACATCATTTGCTCCTTAGTATTTCTGGAGGGCGAATATCACACTATTGCTTTTAAAAGAAAATGGAAAAGAATGCTATGTGATGTTGCTTCCTTGATTGTTCTGTAATTCTGTTTCTGGGGGTCGTATCAATTGGTTTTCTTCACATCAATCATGAAGAGCTAAAAATTGTGGTTTTTCCAAGAGAGCGGAAAAAACATGAATATTTGGAGGCTGTCAAGAATTGTTACAAACATGTTGCTGAAGTCAAGCGCATAGTCAGGTAAACGTTCAACTTGACTAGGAATCTTGTCGTAGGGCCTTAGTCCACTGGTAGTTGATCATTTTTGTTAACTGGCAAGTAACCTCAGTGGGAAAACCTTGTTAGGCTGAGACCTATATTCTGCTAGCTCATAAGCCTGAGCAAAAGCTGCATGGTTAAACTAAAGTTACAAGTTTCAGAAGAAGATGATTACCATGGTCAAATTTTTCTGTGCACATATTTGTTACTTTTCTATTCCTGCTCCTTTGGAGGTTGAATATCTGATAAGATTCTCAGTGAGCCCAAAAGCTTTGAGGTTATCTTCATTCCCCTTTTATTATGATTTTGCAGACACAGGCACTTGCCAATACCAATATACAAGGCCACAAAGCAAATACGGGAGATGACTGAATCTGAGAGGAGGAAAGCTCACAGTGCCCCAGGAAGCATTCACAATGAGCCATTGCGATCGAGTAGAATTATCAAAGAAATTGAGTGAAAAGGGTGGCTGTCATGATCTGCTAATGCATGCTACCCAGGCCAACCTGAACAGTGAACAAGGCTATTACCATTTCACTGTGTGGACAGGGCCATTGGGATAGTAAATTTTATAACAAAGGGCAGAATCGAAGAGGTCTTACATCGCATGTAACTATTGAAATATATAGTGGCTGTTTCTAATGTTGAGCTTATGTTACTGCCATGGTTGTAATGGGAAATTTTGTGATGTAATCAGTTATTCCCAAGTTTGAAAAAGGAAAAAGGAAACTTAATTGCTCCTCCTCTTCATTGGTAACATCAAAATCTTGTTTGTCTAATTGCCTCGTATGACTATAATTAAGGTTGCTTGGGTGCTTTGGCTAGTGCACCAAAAAGAAGATTTCTTTCTTCATTTTACAGGTTAATTGCATAGCCTTTCCATGTGGTTTCTGTTATAATTAAGAATATTCACTTCCGCTATGATCTGGGATATATCATAAATATGCCCTTGTTTTGAGTAAGCTCTAACCAAATCTATCCAATTGTCTGTTTTGTAAAAGATGATATCTTCTTAAAATATAGAGAACGAAGACAGTCATAACACAAAAATATTGACAGTCAACGCTCAAAAGTACGCATAATGAAAAGAATTATCAAGAGAAGATTGTTTAATATATTTTATTTTAAAGTGTCACTAATAGAATCTTTCCTTTTGTTCCCCTCTTTCATTTGAATAATTACTTTCAACTTAAATATACAATTTGTTATCCCTTTTACTCAGAGGTGGAGTCAGGATTTGAATTTAATGGGTTCTAAATTAACAACTTATACATATTCAATTGATATACTAAAACAAATATATGGTTTGAATAAAAATTACTGGGTTCGACGGAACCCGCAAAACCTATACTAGTTCCGCCCCTGCTTTTACTTATATGATACTCTTTTCATTTTGAGATGCTCCAAAATATTTAGCACCATTGTTACAACTTTTCGAATTCAAATTCCTTAGAATTTAAACATTTATATGATGTTTTCTATAAGTATAACTTTCAACTATTATTTTAATATTTATTCGACTATCACTAATATATCACATAAGTTAAATTTAATATTCTGAACTCAACCAAACACAACCGAAAAATGAAACAGAGGGAATATAGAGTGTTTGCTTGATTAGAATTTATTTTAAAAATGAAACAACTGAAATCTTTGGAGAAGCGTTTGACACTAATCAATATCTTTATCTATTGATGAGTTCAAAAAATATTATTAAGATTATTATCATGAAAAAATACAGGTGTTTATATTTTCTCCTTCTTGGTTGGCGTAAAAATTGCGTGGGATAGTCACTTTTTAAAGTGGTATTTACTTTTTATTCAGCATTTTTAATGCTGAGCAAAAATAGCCACTAATCTATTAAAATTAATATGAAAAGACGGTGTTAGCCTTTCTTCTATCTCTTTTCCTTCTCAAACGGCGTGAGTGAAGGCGTCGGATTTTCATGAGCTGTAACTTGGCTATAGTCTATTCTTTGTCAGCAGTCTTCCATCCCACATAAAATTCCTGCAAGCTACTGTTATGCTCGATCTTTAGGACTTTTCTTGTTAGGATAAAGATTGAGGAAAAGTAAGTATGTAGCTTAAAAAGGTGAGTGTGAAGAAGAGAGAGTGGGAGCTGCAAGTTGTCTGAAAAAATGGAGGACGGTCGTCGAAGTAGGGAGGTTATCGGAATAGTTAAGGACAGGTAATCCTTAACTTAGACTTACAAGCTCATAAATTAAGGACAGCTAGTCCTACACTTACAGTAACAAGCTCATAAGTTAAGGACACTTGGTCCTGAACTTAGAGTTGGAAGTTCAAAAATTAAGGACACTTGGTCCTTAACTTAGAGTTACAAGCATAGAAATTAAGGACAGGTAGTCCTTAACTTAGAGTTACAAGCACAGAAATTAAGGACAGGTAGTCCTGAACTTACAGTAACAAGCTCATAAGTTAAGGACACTTGGTCCTGAACTTTATGAGCAGAAGGGTATTTTCGTCCGGGCGGGTAAAAATTTATTAAAGCCATGGCTAAAGACTATAGACGTTTTAAACAGTGGCTTAAAAGTAAATACATGTCTTATTACTGGCTAACTGTGCACTTCCCCCAACTTCATTTGGGTTAGTCCATTGAGTTGGTCCTCAAATGATGAGCCCACTCCATTAACCCAAAGTTCATATGCCACGTGTCAAATGACATGGCACACCAAGTCAATACAAGGACTACTAAAATCATGCCATGTGTATAAGTGATGTAGCATGCCAAGTCAAATACGAGGATCAATCAAATGTCGCCAAGTGTTCAAATGACATGGTTTAACCAATCACATACAATCTTATCACATAGCTTTAATGATAACTTTGATGACTCACGTGAACCAATCAAATTGAAGGATAAAGAGTATGTATGTATCACAAACTCCCTTCCCGTACAACTATAAATAGGGGTCTCCATAAAGCCAAAAGGCATGAATCAGAAGAGGAGGAGAAATACAAGCATCAATAAGCCTTTAATTTCTCCACTGTGGTGATCCGCAAGTTTTCCATAAATCAAGAATTCTTCTTTCCAGGTGGTGATCCTCAAGTCTTCCACACACTCCATGTTCATGATCAAAGTCTGACTCTACGCTCGTGATCAAATTCAAAAAACAAGTTTAGCCCGTAAATTCAAGAACAAGCCATCAAGCCCCTTGAAGTTGACGGTCGTGAGGAGAAGAATCAGAGGATTACATCTTTTAACTTATAAAGATTGTTCAAAGATTGTAACCCCAGAAAGTCATTAAAATACAAATACTTCTATTTGTTGCTATATTTCTTATCTTGATTATATTATTTTTTAGGAACGAAGATTTAGTTGTTACAAATTTTTACACTCCTAGTGAGACAATCTTTGCCTCTCATATCTTCTCTTTAAAGTTCAAGAACACTAAGATGGCCGCAATGAAGATCTACTCCAGATGTAATACTACTGAGGAGGCCCAATCTAAAAATTAACTGAAAGTTGCCTTGGAGATTATTGGCCAAATCAAAAGGATTAAAGCCAAAATGTTGGGACAACAAGTTTTTCAAGTACCGTCCAAGTTATCTCATATTTCCCCAGCATCTTCTCCAAAAGAAGTGAGAACTTCTTCGTGTATGCTAGAAGAAGGAGACAAAGAAAGACATTGTAGGTCAAATGACGTCGTTAAAAGGATCGAGGAGTTTCTTGCCAAACTTAGTTTATCTGGGTCCAAGAAACCTCTCATGCAAGCCGATGATGATTTCTTAAGCCCTGGATTTACTCCGCATAACATGTCCAAATATCATGCTCATGAAAGTTCATGTCTTCTCCATCCTCTACGGCAATCATACATGCGATGGTTATTGAAGCTTCTACCATAGAAGAACAACTTGCAAATTTGACGAAAGTAGTTAAAGGCTTGTCAAAGTACGTGCAAGATCAAGATGTTAAACTTTTCAAGTTGAAAAATAAATTGGATAGCATACTAGAAGGAGAATCGACACAAATACCTTTAAATCTTTAAAGGTCACAAGAGAAAGGAGACTCATCCACAAAGCTAGAAACAACAACCAAGGAGATCCAAGTCTCCGCTGAAGGTTTAATTCCCGTTGAGGAATTGAAGGACTTCTTCATAAAGGCTATCAAATATAAATCTGAGTCATCGTCCAAATTATCTCTCACATATGCAAAGTCGTGTACGCAAAGAATTGATAACTTGAAGATACATTCGTTTTCAACCTCCTAAGTTCCAACAATTTGACGGCAAGGAAAATCCAAAACAATATGTAGCGCACTTTGTTGAAACTTGCAACAATGCTAGAACATACAGTGATTACCTTGTCAAACAGTTTAGTCGATCTCTCAAAGGTAATGCATTCGATTGGTACACAGATCTTGAATTTGGTTCCATCGATAATTGGGATCAGTTGGAGCAAGAGTTTCTCAATCGTTTCTATAGCACAATGCATATCGTAAGTATGATCGAACTTACAAATGTTCATCAACGAAAGAATGAGCTAGTTATTAACTTCATCAACCACTGGAGGAGCTTAAGCATCAACTGCAAAGATCGCCTTAGCGAAACTTCTGTCATCGAAATCGCATTCAATATGCATTGGAATCTTTGCTACATAGTACAAGGCATAAAGCCTAAAATATTTGTAGAACTACTAAACCGTGCTTAAGATGTGGAACTAAGTACGGCCACAAGTGGAGGCCAAGGGTCTCTTGTCTTTAAGACTTATAAGGAAGAAGAAGAAGAAGAAGAAGAAGAAGAACAAAAGGCGAGGATAGGGGAAAGTTTTCATTCAAAAATGAAATCGAAGAGTCTATGCATATCACTATGCTCCTCATCGCACGAGTCTAAACTACAAGTTGTAATGCTCCTCAATGCACGAGCCTAAACTGCAAGTTTTGATGCTCCTCAATGTACGAGCTTAAACTGCAAGTTATGAGGCTCCTTTGATACATGAGCCTAAACTACACGTCATAAAGCTCATTAAATTCGAGCCAAATCTTCAAGTGATAAAGCTCATCAAATTCGAGCCAAATATTCATGTCATAAAGCTCATCAAATTCAATCGAAATCTCCAAGTCACAAAGCTCATAATATTTGAGCCAAATCTTCTCGTTTCAAAGCTCTTCAAATTCGAGCTAAATCTTCAAGTTTCAGAACTCTTCAAATTCAAGCTAAATCTTCAAGTTGCAAAGTTCTTCATATTCGAGCAAGTCTTCAAGTTGTAAAGCTTCTTAAATTCGAGCAAAGTCTTCTAGCAAATGCACGAGTTTAAACTTCATATAACTCCTTGTTGCACGAGTATAAACTGTAGAAAAAATATAGTTTTCTGCAACTATGTAAGTAACTTGATCCTTCTGCAATTACGTAGGCATCTTAGAGTTTCATTCTACACTCAGTCACATAAAAAAAAGTCTCTTTATTGTGATGGCAAAGTGAAACTAATGAACTCAAAAAATGGAGCACTATATATATATCGTTTCATCAAGTCGTAAGAAGGACGTTCCATACACTTCTTCACTAAGTTGCAAGAAGGGGTTGTGCCACGCCAGAGCTTGAAGGTTGGGATGCTTCATGAACTTCTTCACCAAATTGCAAGAAAATGTCGTCCAAGCTAATTCTTAATTGATGGGATGTTTCGTATACCTTTTTTCCTCCGAGAAGTGGGTGGTGATCGTATACTTCTTCACCGGATTTGTGAT